CTTTTACACGGAACATGTCAAGAACCGGCAAGCTGATAGACGAAGAGCAGCGCCTCAAATCAATCAGAAAACAAACAGCGGTGGCACCCTCCGGCGCCCAAAATATTACGACGTCGCGTCGCTGCCCCCTCACACCCCGAAATTTCCACTTCCATCACGCATCCATCAACGTACTCGCCTGCCTATCTTTTCTATCCGTCTCATCTCATCCACATCAATTACATGCAAAGGGGAGTTGGAGGACAGCGCGAGAGAGAAGCTTTCTTTTGTTCTTTCGCCAGTCGTCTGCTCCCCTCGCCTCTTCCATGGCCATGCATGCACGCATCTATCATCAATCTATCTATCTATCCATCAAGGTGAGGCCTAGAGCGACATGGAATGACAGGAGGGGTTAGTTCACCCAGTCACACCGCTAGCTTCCGTGGGCCTTCACATGCCTACAAAGCCCTACCTATGTTCACAGCTGCAGAGGCACTGGCTTCTACTTCTAGCAGTAGTATCTTGTCACACACACACACACACAGCTTTGGACATCAGGTAATGTGAAGGCTGTCTTCAAAAACAGACTGAAGTGGTTGAGGAAACTTGGTTGAAGGCCACACATGTTTTAAGTCCAAACTCATTCGTCGGTTCAAAATATCTTCATACATTTTTCCAATGTGGTTCCCTTGGATTAATCATACTTCTTTCATTCTTGAGTCTTTTAGTCCTGTAAATAATAAATTGTTTTGATTTTCTTGTTTGATTGTTGGATTGTACCATCAGAATTTTCCCCAAGGCGTCCTTTGAGCTCTGTATGTCACAGCGATTTTATTATTGACTGATATCCCTTGGTTTAATCCCATATGATTTCCCTATCAACTAATCTTGTAGGCTAGTTCGGCTTCTTATGTATCGTTTGATCTGCTTTGTAGAGGGCCTCCTGACCACAATGTATCATTTGACCATGTATTTTGGTGTGTTGCTTTATATATCAGTTTTCGGTCAGTTTCCTTTATTAACTGATCAATTTTATTCTTCTAAATGAAAAGACAGAGCTCTTGTTGGTTCCTCAAAGAGAAAAATGGGGCGAAAGCCTGTTTCAGATAGTTAATCCTCTACCATTTTCTGAAGGCATGAAACTTTAATCCCACAACTTTTCTTTTTTTGTTTTCCAAGTATTTAGAATCCTGCAAATGAAAAAGCCTCTAAATTTTAGCAACAGGTTTCTAAACCTATATCACATAATTCTACACATTGAACAGGGAAGCTCGACCTGAATAGACTAGGCACAACGCGTTTTCCCCTTCCCTGCTTCCATGACCTAGGCGACCAGGGGCGGGCCCTCTTCCCCAAGAACTCTGGCAACGGGGTGGAGTGTGGATCTCAAAGTTTCGGTCTGGTGGTGGTAGGGTTAGGAATAAAGTTTGGTCTTGTTGCTAATTGATGGGGCAAGATGATAGCGTCACAGTCAACGTGCAATAAGGTCTTCTTGCCTCGCCCCTGTTCCGGTGGTGCTTCTTCGTATCGTCAGGATGCGTGTGGAGGAGGTGTGTTCCTAGATCTGCTTCTTCGGTTCTAGTTTTTCGTCTGGAGTTTTGTCTCCGTGGTGATGTCCTGTAGGGTAGACACTATGGTTGTGTGTATTGGTCCTTCCACTTCAGTTCCGACCGACAAAGATTGGCCAACCTTAGCCTTGTTGAGGAGCATGTGAGATTTGTGTTCGTCGACTCTGTCTGATCAGATATGGGTCGTTCTAGAGGCCCTCTTCAGCATTTTCTTCTCGGGAGGGGAGGGGGAGGGGGTTGCTACTCAAATCATGGTCACCAACATCTTCTGGTCTACATTCAAAAAAAATCTTCAGCCTTTCCGAAAGAAAAAACGGGGAAGCTTGAGAGAGAACGGCTGGGGAAGCTAGGTGGGCTTGTGGCTGAAAGCCCAAATGCCTGGTAGCAAGTTTAGACGTGACACTGTGCTTCGGCAAATCCTAAACGACGCCCGTTGCGTCCGTTTCTTCTATTTCGACAAACGGGCGCACACCCTCTCTCCGCGATGGGCCGGCCCCTTTTCATGTTTTTTTCGTTTTCTGAAACTGCTGCAAAAAATGGGCGTGACGGGGAATCGAACCCGCGCCACTTGGTTCTTTATAGAACACGCTAACCAACAAAGCCAAGCCACCTTCCATGACTATCCAATTCCTCTTTCCTCTTTACTTCTCACGTTTTTTTCTTTTTCTTTTCTCTTGTTCTTTCTTTTTGCCTTTTCTTTTTCTTTTTCCTTTTTCTGTCTTTTTGAAAATCGACGAACTTTTTTTCAATTTTAAGAACTGTCTTTCAAATTCAATGAAGTTTTCTTCAAAATCAATGAACTTTTTTCATATTCGGTGAACTTTTTGCAAAATTGATGAACTTTTCTCACCAAATTCCATGAACTTTTTCCAAAATCGATTAACTTTTTTTCAAATTCAATGAACTTTTTTTGAAAACCAGTGAACTTTTTTAAATTGGATGAACTATTTTCGAATTGGATGAACTATTTTCAATATCCAAAATATTTTCATAAAATGTTTTCCGAAATTCCAAATTTTGTTCATGTTTTCGAATTTTGTTCACGTTTCATAAATAGTTCTGAATTTTAAATTTTTGTTCACCGTATTGAAGAAAAATGTTCACCATACATTGAAAAAATGTTCAGTGTGTATAAAAAAATGTTCATCATGTATATAAATTTTGTTCAGCATGCACTCAAAAGAAGTTCATCGTATTTAAAAAAAATTCTATGTGTATTTGAATATTGTTCACCATATATTGAAAAAATGTTCAGTGTGTATAAAAATATTCATCGTGTATAGAAATTTTGTTCAGCATGTATTCAAAAAAAGTTTAGCATATTTTATAAAAATGTTCACTGTTTCTTTGAATAATGTTCACCCGATACTAAGAAAATGTTCAATGTGTATTCTAAATTTGCTTTCTAAAAACTGTTCACAGTACAAAAAAAGTATTTCAAATTTTGAAATTTGTTCAGTTTTTAAAAAACATAGTTCACGTTTAAAAGAAAAGGAATATTCGAAATTTGCGTATGATTTTCGAAATATTTGTTCGCATATTTTAGATTTTCATTTTTTCCAAGAATTAACGAAAAATGTTGAAAATCCCCGGATCTACCATTTGGGTTGGTACTTAAAAGGAAACGCTGTTTTTAGGACGTACACAATTAGTATCCCAGCTGGCCAGCTTCGGGAGTATGCAGCGCTAGGTTTGGAGTTCGAGTCTCATTGCGGTCGTTTTTGTTTTTCAATTACCGCGTTCGCTCCAGGCTTAGATTGGGCTAGGTTTGGGTTTTCTGCGTACGTCGCGTTTCGTGGGCCGGCCCAACTTGTCACGCGCGTGGGCGCCGGTTCTCCTAGCCGGCGCTTAAGGCGCCGACTAGGAGCTCCCCTGTGCTTCAGAGGAGGGGCAAGCTTAGCTGGGCTTGTGCCGCTTCTGGGCCATGGTTCTGCACCCGTCCCCGGATCTGAATGAAATGTGCGAGGTTGTTTTTTCTCAACAACAAAAAAAAAATGAGCGAGATGGGCAGCCGGCAGGAACCGACCGGGCAGGATTTGTCCGTACCAGCGCTGGTTCACAGAGAGAAGATCTGGGTGGACGAAGCCAACAACAGGGACAGTGGCCGGCGAGGCTGTCGTGAAGCTGGGTCGTCGAGCGCCGGGAAGGATTAACAAATAGTAATCGACTGAGGATCTGCACATATTGAACTGCCAAACGGATCGTAGTGCAATGGTTACGGATAGTGTTTTCACCACTTGCATGCCTCCTTAGTCCCTTCGTTTTCTGGAGTTCGTGCATACCTGAACTTTGAGTCGTTCTTGTTCATACTGAATGAGCATTGCGGCTTACATAGGTGTGCAGTGTGCTAGTGCAATGCTTGCAGAGTTGCAGTCCAGTAGTTTGAGGACTACCAAGCATGATGCTTTGTTCTGAATTACAGTATAGTACATGAATTTTGAAAAAAGAAAACCGCGCATTATCAATCAGACAGTTCTTCTGCTTTCATATGTGGCCTCAGCTCTGGTACTAGAGTGCTTGCGCGATTGGTAATTAGAGGACTTCTAGGTGCTGAAATTGAGCAGTACCTGAATTTCGAGTTACCGTTCAGGAATGTGAGAATTTTTTCTGCTGTAAAAATGCAAGGGCGAGGAGGAAGACGAGGCAGCCAATGCTGAGGTGTTGGAAACGCTGAACATGAGGAGAGGAAGATAGGGGATCGGGCTGGATGGGCAGCGCGATTGAATTGAGTCGGTGGCTTGAGATGAACAAGTTACAACATCCTCTTCTTTTTGCCAATGAAAGTTGTCAAACCCTGAACGATAAGTAGGTATATGAATAGCAGATCTAACTACAGATTTCCCATTTAGACCCAGCTCTTTGGCTTCTCCCATAAGCCATTCCCTACCTAGCTTCTCTCATAAGAAGTTCCCTTAATTGCTTGGGGCTTCTAAGCTAGTTATCTCTAACTAGTTCAGAAACCGATTTTTTTTAGTAAAAGGAAGCTAGAGGTGGGGCAACTTCGTGAGCAGCCGCCAAAAGAACTGGACCTTACATCCACTCCCAGAGTCCTAGTATACTGAAACATTACTCTCCCAATCCGACCTGAACTGATATCACTCAGATATTGTCTACGCATCTGACTAAAAGGTCAGATGTCACCACTCAGCGCAAGAAGCTCATAAACAACTAGCTAAAGAAACCGTAACAAAATAACCATACATGAAACTTCAGCAGATAACCACGCACAGGTAACATGTGTAACCCAGACCAATTTCAGAACAGGTTCGTCACCAAAAAAAATGGAACAGCAGTAACAGAGTTTAAACATGGTGCGGGAGGGTCTATTGCCGGTTGCAATGTACACAAGGTCCAAAGTAACGCAGGATTTCCACACATGTATTGTCACCAAAGAATTTCATCTCAAGTTCTTCACAGTTGCCGAGTTCCCAGATAACAAGTTGCTGTCCATCGTTACAATGTTGTAACAGTAGCCTGGTCACTGCACATGTAAATTAGATAAATACTATTATTACCACCAGAAAGCTGATAGGATATGTATAAGTATTAAACATTACTATTTGAGTGAAACACGACAAACTGGATACAAATAAGGAAAGCAGATCCTGGGGACAAGTACTTGGAATTTCAAAATACTAGATAGCATTGATTAAGCAAACGTATTTTTGCATAGAAGACAGAAAATAATCAAAGCAACAAAGACTATTGACAACAGACAAGTGTGCCCCGCTTTTCTCATAATTCAGATTCATGGTCACAGGAAAATTGATTGACAAAATAATAATCAGATTCATTGCTATGGCATCCATCCTTATAGGACCCAACCATCACCAGCCAAAATTTAAATCTACAATTGATAGTATTCATGAATGATATCTTGCTAGACAGTGTGCACGTATAAGGCACATAGCTGCAAAGTATAGCAGTTTTCAATAAACGGCAACACGGTGTCATTATCAGTATATTAGTTCACCAAAGGATGCCTACAATTATGAGTAGCTATTATCATTCCTTAGCATGGATTTCTGTTATTGAATTAGCAAATATTTATCTCAGCATCAGTATAAATACAAACTTATAAACAAATGGCAATCTGGGCTTTTATTTCTAAACAAATGGCTCGGCTAATATTATCGAATACTTGTTGATGTTTTTTAGTGTGTTGTGCCATGAGCTCCGCTCCTGGAAATTGTGATGCAGCCAGGTCTCTCTCAATCAAACAAAATCAAGACTATTAATTACACAGGATCACTATACAAATTGACTGTTGGATCAAGCAGTTAAAAAGATAAGAGAAGACCAAATGATGCATAACAAGTATGTTACCAAGTTGTTAATATTATTGATTAACCAGTGAGAAAAGATTTGGGTAAGAGATAATGGTTATCACATCTATAGAAGTTCAGATTAGTACGATATAAAAAACATTCATTCCATTCGGATATACCTTGTATAGGTTAGAAAATGAATACGGGAAATAATAACTTGATATAAATAGGTCAAGCCTTCAGCAAGTGTTTCATCAATGTTTAATGGTTACTTCGTTTGCACTTACTACTAAAATCTAAAACTCTTTTGGGCATACCTTATAATTTACTAAATTTCTTTTGTGCATAATTTACTACTAAAAAATACTTGGCTATAGGTGCAAGAATTAAAATAACAGATAATGTAACAGAAACTGACAGATTGATTATTTAATATCAAAACATGTCAATTACAGTAATTCAAAGACTCGTCCGGAACAATATGAAACAAAAGTTCAGATTCTTACTCCATGCCCAAAGTTTCTTGCCTGGTAGCTGGTAGGTCCACTTGTTGCTCTGTTATGTCTTCAATCAATTTGTTATCACTTTTAGCTTCCCCAAGTTGAGCACCAAAACGATTTGTATTCACATGATCATAACCATATCCAATTTGTGTTCCGTAGCCTGTATTGAGTGAACCTTGCCTTGTCAAGGGGACTCCTCCATTCATCATGTAGACATACTCTGGTAAGCACATGTATTGTGGCATAGGCATCACATAATGATTATTAACAATATGCTGCATGTGAGGTGGGTATGCTCCAGCAAAGCCAATGGGAGGATTGTTGCCATTCCATATCATAGGATTATATTGTAGCCTATCCTGGTAGTAGCTATGACCCTTGGGAATAGCTCTCTTAGTTTCAACCTTTGTACCGTTCAAGTCATGGAATTTACTCTCCAAGACATTTACCATAGCCTCCTCTGAATCAAATGTAATGAAACCAAAGCCTCTTGATCTCTGACTAGCCCCCTCACGTATCACAACAACATCTGTTATTCTACCAAACTTCTCAAAATAGCTCTGGAGGTGCTCCTTGGTAACATTACCTCGTAGCCCACCAACAAAGACCTTGTTTGGATCACAAGTTCTATGACCATTACCAGCATATGAGTTGTTACTAGAAGACTGAGTGTACCACTGGTTGTGAACTGGGCTCTGAATTGGGCTCTGAATTGGGCTCTGATTTAAAGCGTATTGGTAGAATGATTGCTCATTTTGGTATCGCATTGGCCTGGTCCGAGCTCGTTTAACATCCACCTACCCAAATAGGCAATCAAACACATAGTTCAGATATCTGAGGTAGAAACAAAACAAAACAAAAAACAGACCAGACTAGAAGAAAAAAATCAGTGGAACCTTTTGTAGAAAATACAATAAAAACATCTCAGAAGATCTGAAGAAGCTAACATTAAACTAAATAAATATACGACAAGAAACGTATTTCTTTGTAGAGTACAAGCATCTAGCAATATTTCTACCTTAAGACAGTACATGGAAGTTGCAAAATTCTCTAAGAACATCTGAATCTGTGATGTATCTTACTCCAGTGTAAGGAATTCAAGCAGCTCAGTTGTAGATTATCGACACAATCAATAATCTTTAATAGAAAATTAAAAAAGACAGCAACGCCTTTATTTCACAATTAAACCTGATGGTAAGCAGGCCACATTCAATCGCAAAGCCCTAAGACACGCCTACAGCAATCGCTACCACAGATTTAATCGGGGGGTTTGCAAACAAGAAGAGAGAGTGCCTCACCGTGCGGTCGCCGAAGACATGGTTGTCCTTCTCCTTCTCCTGAAGCGCGGCGCGCGGGCCCTCGTCGTCGGCAAACTCGACGAACGCGAAGCCGCGGCACTGGCCCGTCTCCCAGTCGCGGACGACACGGACGCGCAGCACCTCGCCGTAGCGGCTGAAGTGCTCCTGGAGTTCTTCCTGCTGCGCCGACGGCGGGAGGCCGCCGACGTAGAGCTTCCGCGTCTCCAGCGCCATCGGCCGGCGAGGAGGACGGCAATGGGATAGGAGGCGGCGAGTCTGTTTCCGGGGCGGAGAGAAAAGCGGCGGAGGCGAGGCGCGCGTGGGCGACGCGGAAGGCTAGGGTTGTTTGTTTGGGTCCGGGGTGGGGTTCGGTTGGGCTCGCCGGGGTTTAAGAAGTTGCGGAGGGGACTGGACGGCCCAGATTGGAAGCGGAGTAGTTTGTTTCTTGTTGCGTGCGGACTTGCGATGGGAAGGCGGACTGGACGAGGTTTCGTCTCCGGCTCGGCCTCCAACTGCAAACTGCAGCGACCGCGCGTGGACTCTAGTATGTTTTTTCTTGCAGGACTCTCTACTATGTTGGCTTCCACTGAATTTGACGACTCTGTTTGGCTGACAAATGGGACCCGCAATGTATCCGATAGAAGGGGCATCATGTTTTTTTTTCAGAAAAACTTGGTATAACGCAAGCGCTTGAACACAAACATACAATCATCGTCGGGGATGCACAAGAACATTTCTTTTCATAAAAGACTTCCGAGAGACTAAATCAGCAAATCTCGACCTTAACAAAGTCGCCACCCATAGTTGACGGTAATGTCATCTCTTAATGAACCCCGGTGCGTTGATTTTACCATTTGGAACTTATAACCATCTAAGTTATGTGTAGTTCGCTGCAACATAAGTTAGATACGAGCTAATATTAACCCAAATAACTTTGTACTACCCCCTTTGGTCGAGTTTAAAGGGTCGGCCTGCCGATTCTACTTTACTAAGGCACGTCAGGAGTAATGTTAATCCTTCGAACTCCCCTAAGCCTCTCACACGCGCATGCATGACTAATAAAGAGGTAGAGCACTTGACCACGTGACATATGTGGTAAGCAATTCAAACTAATCCAAAAGAGGTAGAGCACTTGGACTGTGCATGCGTGTGTTGGTGGGTGGAGGGGGAGGGGACAACTAATTAATAGTGTCGCAATTAATCCTAACTTAGAAGTTTAGATGTCTATCTGGCACTTCAAAAACGACCGGTAATACACTTGTTGAGAATTAATTGATTAAGTTCATACATGCCTTATATAATTAAGCATGCATTTGGCATTTGGTGCATTCTCTATTTAGGTATTATAGATACCATTTCCCTACCCATTCCCTTCTTTTATTGTTTGACCCGCCTTTACCTATTTTTATGGCTATTTTCTTACATTAAATTATGAAATAGGAACAGCACGTCATAGTTTATTTTTTGTTGGCGAACCCATCGCAGTTTAGCAACCACAAATTGAGTCTAACCAAATATATAGTTGATAATTGAGCTATCGTGAAGACGGTTTACTCTGGGTTTCCCTTAGTGGTGTTATGTGAATGTCGACTACATGAGACTTCACCATGTTTGAAATGCATTGTGGAGTAGTAATTAGATGACAGGTTGCTAGAGTGACAGAAAGTTAAACCCTAGTTTATGTGCTATTCCGTAAGGGGTTGATTTGGATCCATATGTTTCATGTTATGGTTAAATATATCGTAATTCTTCTTTCATAGTTGCAGATGCTTGTGAGAGGGGTTAATCATAAGTGGTAGGCTTATTCAAGTAAGAACAACACCCAAGCACCGATCCACCCACATATCAAATTACCAAAGTAACGAGCACGAATCAAACAAACATGATGAAATTCTCGAGTGTCCTCAAGAACACTTTGCTTATTAAAAGAGACTGCTCTAGCCTGTCCTTTGCTATAAAAAGGATTGGGATACCTTGTTGCACCTTTGTTACAATTGCTACTTGTTGCTATCAAACTATCTGTTACGATAATTTTAGTGCTTGCATACATTATCTTGCTGAAAATTGTTTGTCATTTTCTTCTGCTCTTCGTTGGATTCGACACTCTTACTTATTGAAAGCACTACGATTGATTCCCTATACTTGTGGCTCATCACCATCTCAAATGCATTTTCTCTTTTGATTTGTGGAAACTTAAATCACAACAAGGACGGTAGTAATTTTGTAATTCATATGTATTGATTATTCTAGTTTTTCCAAACCTACATGTCCTTTTTAATATAGAGATTTTTTTTCTGTTTTTTCCATGACCTATAGAGAAATGGCGAACGAAAAAAAACTACCATCTCACCAACGAAAAGTGACATGACACCTGCAATAAAAGTGCCACGGCACCTACAATAAAAGTGCCCATGGCCTAATTAGATGAAACTACCATGGCGCTCGGCAATTGTTTGATGCTTCTTGCCATGGCAAAAATTTGATGTCATGGCAATTTTATGATCTACTCTGTTTATTTGTCTACTTTTTCGGTTGGAATTGTCTTGTTGATGCACTTTTATACATTAAGTAAGTGAAATGCATGCTCCTGTCCGTGCATAACTTCTACACCTATTTGTCCCTTATGTTCGAATCAACTACACTAACTACCATGGTTAATTTGATGCTTAGAGGCTTTTTTCACTAGATTTTATAAATGTTGCATGATACAATGTGTGTTTGCTGTCATACCTGGTATGATGTAGTATGATAACAAAGTTTTATGTGTTCTTCAAAAACATGGCGATTTTTATATTGTTTTGCCATATTTTATAGATAGTTCTTGCCAAAGTTTTGTCATGTTTCAAATTTTATTTATAGTCTACGGCAAAAGTAAGCGAAAGTGTTGTGAAAACCATGGCATATTTTTGTAAATTGCCATGGCATTTTTTATTAAGAGCATGACATATTTTTTGTAGGATGATAAATCTATTTTTAATGGCAATTTTAATTTTGAATCACTACAATATATTTTGTGTGGTTTTTTATTTTGACAAAGAAAATACACAGTATGGAAATTTTAATTTTTGAATCATGATAATGTTTTATTAAGAGCATGGCATTTTTATTACTAAGAGCATGACATTTTTTATCTATAACATTTTAATGGCATGGCATTTTTAATTATTGAATCGTGACATTTGTTGATAAAGAAAATACACATCATGGAAATTTTAATATTTTTATCATGGCATTCTACTTTTAATGTCATGGCATTTTTATTGTCTCCATCATGGCAATTTCCTTTCCATTTTTTTAACATTTTCAATTTTGAATCATTCTCATAGCAAAATAAAAAAATGTGTTTCCATGGTAACTAAAATTTCGTTGTGATGGCAACTCAAATTATAGAACCATGACAAGTTTCAATACTTTTTCTTGTGTTGTAAATATTTTTTAGCGTACCAGGGCAAATTTATGTACGCATTTGTTTAGCTAAAATGCAAATTTGACATGTATATTTAATATGATGCCATTACTTAGTTAAAATACTGTTTTTTGTTCACATGGCAACTAGCAATTTTTCAATAAATATTTTATTTTTGTTTTGTTTTTAGTCAGATTTTTCTAGACAAATCTTTTTAGGTAGGTTTTTTTAGAAATATGTTTTTAGTTAGTTGTATGTGAAACATACGAATGGGCTTTTTTGGCCCATTAGTGGAATAGAAATCGTTTTGAAAGATTTCTGATTTGAATCATGCAAAAAAGTTCGAAAGTAATTGTGCATCATTCGCATAAATAGATCAGACTTTTGGGAACGTCGATGTTTGTTGGCTTGTTTGGCAAAAAAATGGTATGCCAGAAGAAATTTTTCGGTGAGTTAAATATTCAAGAGCAGAATCTTGATCATTCATTTTTCCCTTATTTTATTAATCTTAGTAGTCTAATTGTAGTCCTAGATTTTCATTTTGATTTTTTTAGATTTTTCATTTTGATGAGCCATGCAGCCAAAAATCCGATCGAAAATCTATATTTTGGTCCAACTGAGGCTCAGATATGTACAATGAGGAAGGGTTCACTGGGAGGGATTACACCTTGTGAACGATTCTTTCGCTCGAACAGTCGAACTAGACGTTCCCAGGGAATGACTCGCTTGTACAAGGATCTTCTTGATGTTCCCCAGATATAGGGTCCAGTAAAATTACCAACATCTGTTCCATACCTGACCCTTTTGCGACAAGAACAATCGGAACATCTTCGCGTCGGCCTCCAAGGTTCAGGTGGGTGATGATCTCCGCGCAACTTTCTGGGAGTCAGTTTGGCTGGATGGCATAAGACCCAAAGACATTGCTCCCAAAATTTATGACATCTCCAACAAAAGAATTTGTCAGTCCACAAGGCATTGCTTACTGGCTACTCGGTCTCCCAGGTGAAGGTTGCTTCGGTCATCTCTTCTGAGCACATCGCCCTATTTATTGCGATTTGGGAAAGACTCACCCACATCCAGCTAAACCCGGACATGCAGGACTCCATCACCTGGAAACTCACTTTTGATGGCCATTACTCTGCAGCCTCGGCATACAGAGCTCAGTTTCTTGGTTTGGTGGACATGGATATGAACCAAAATGTTTGGAGACCCCCAAAGTACAAATTTTTCGACTGGCTTGTTATCAATAATAGTATTTGGACGACTGACTGACTCCACCGCCGCGGATGGCCGAACTGCAACCTTTGTCTACTATGCCAACAAGTCCAGGAATCGACAGGCCACCTTCTTTTTCAATGTTGATACACCATTCGGGTGTGGGGCATGATCAAAACTTGGCTTGCTCTCCACCATGTCCGGCCCCAATGATTGGATTGTTATGGATTCAGTTAAGGTCCGGTGAAGTCAGAATGCCACTAAGCAAACTCCGTCGAGAAAGCCGCTTGTCTCCCTGATGATGCTTATCTTCTGAGAAATATGGAAGGAGCGAAATGCTAGAGTTTTTCGCAACACGGCTGCTCTGGTGGGAGTGTTGCTCGGCAAGATAAAAGACGAATGCTCGATGTGAAGCCTTACGGGAGCAAAACATTTGTGTAACATTATGCCGCCAGAGGGATGTACTGTATTTGGCCTTTAGCCTAAACTGTTAACCTTCTAATGAAAATGGCAAATCTTTTGCCTAGTTTTTTTTCAAAAAAAAAGCTGGCCCTTAACATCTCGTCTCCACGGACCGCTGCACAATTAATCCAACAGCTCAACACTCATTCAG